AAGTGAATCGTCGGACGGCTTAGACTTAGACCAAAACACCAATAATTCGTACAGAGCATGTTTGTGTTGGCCGGACTTAAGTTATTTAATGTACTTACTTAGCCAAAGATAGTTTCAAACAGAACGTGGCGTGTTCTAGCTGTGTGCTTACTAAAGATTTAGTTGGTTCTTATCGTACGTAGGTACTCGCTCGATTCTCTACGCATTTAAAATTAACATTATTATTTATTGTCATTATCATTAGGGAGTCCAACACTCATATAAATATTAGCCTATCCATTAAGTATATGTATTTTCTACATGGATACCAAGTTTCAAGTCAATCGGATGCATGGTTCAGTAGTTATAACGGAACATCCGTAAAAACCACTGTAGATTTATATATTAGTATAGATAATATGAAGCATGTATAAACGAAGAACATAACTAAACCCAAGTGTGACAAGCGCAGTGTGTCCTACCAGATGAAACCACGATCTAGTGAAAATCGCTGGGTCACGTTGGATGCAGGTAACAACGAACCGGTCGCACTGGATCAGTTGAAGAAGCCTATGTTCAGCAGTGGATACCTATAAGCTGAGATGATGATGATGAAGATGATGATGACACATCTTGAAATAGTTTGGAATTCTATAGAGAATTAAACTATAAACTCAAATCACAAGCCAAGGACTTTTTAAATTGACCATTATGATTCAGGGCATAATCTTAGAATAATACCAATAACTTTGTTGAAGAAAACTGAAAAATCTGACAATAAAATTTTGTCGAATAAATTCTTGTACAGAGGAATATCTATATATTAATACGTGAAGCAAAAACTTTGTATCCCTTTTTAAAAAAATTGCGCGGACGGAGGAGTATGAATGGACAATGCCCATTTTCTTAGGGCGTTTGGGCCCCTAAAAAAAGTTGTCGGGTCATGATGGTTTTAACTTAATTTTATAGACAAAGAAATATCGTTTCATATTCAGAAAACGATTTTCATATTCTATCCTAGGTATATGAGAAATCAGCTTTTTTCTGCAGCTAAAATTAAGTTGTGAATTGTTTTCTTCGAAATCAATAATCGCTTTCATCATTATTTACAGTATTAAATAAGTTAATTGTAGTTAATGTTGCTAGAAATAAGCCCTTACGTACATTTTATTATTATTATATCCTCAAAATAATAATAAAATGAAATAAAAATCCGGAAGCGATATTGTTGTTGTTGTTTTTAAATTCGCCAATAAGCAGGCAAAGAGAGGCCTATACAGCCTAGTCTGTCGTAGTTTTTTTTTTTTCATTAAAAATCTGGTGTATCTCTTTTTATTGCTTTTTGGGAGTTTTGACGTCAACTCGATGAATAGCACATTGAGTGAGCGTGAATTTCCGCAGACCTATTATCTTGAAAAAAAAAAACAGTCACTGCTATGTTAGCCACAGTTTTATTCCAATGCCTCAATAATCGCGAACAACGATTATTGACGTTTAATACACAAAGAACACCCAATTTATATATTATACATCACAATAAACTATTAAAAAAACATTAAAATAAAACTTCAAGTGACGCTTCACTCGGGTTGCTGCCAAAACTCTCTGATCATATATAATAAGAATAGAGTAATGGTAGGCCATTGAGATTTTTACTAATGGAATCAATAATATCTAAAAATATTAAATAATTCATGGTTTTAAGTAATAATTATTATTACAATATATAAATATCGAATTGAAAAAAAAATAAACTAAAAAGTCTGTGAATTATAACCATTAGCTATTTTTTTTTATTTGTTGTTCAAGTCACAGACAACTCTTTCGTTTGCCAGCTTAAAGGCTTACTATAAGGCTTTATGGGCTAAGCCCTTTGCCTATTGGCGAATTTAAAAACTATGACACTCAGTTTTGGGATGTTATCAAATAAGTAATTTATTTTTTTGTAAAACAATGCCAGGTTGAAAGAAATGTTGATACATAAACTAAACAACGTGAAAAAATAAGGCATAGTTTTTCAAGTACAAATAGTTTTGACATAAAGTTGGCCCACTTTTGGGCATTGTCCTTTTCCACACTTATAGAGAATATAGAGAAGAAGTGCACAATGCTAATATTTTTTTTTAATAATGCATAAAATATACTTTAAATCCATAAAGAAAACATTACACACACTACATACCATGTATTTGACGCACACAAGCATGCATACTATTTATTGTCAAACTTTTGTTCTTGACGTCTGTTGTCAAATTGAGAATAGATTAAATATTGTTTGTCTTTATTAATATTTTTTATAGTGTAGTATTGGCGAAATTTATGAATATTAAAGTATAAAGTACAATCATAATAGTGTACAAACTTACAATTCCAATTAATTATAGTCGAATTTCGACTACTGCGGACCTCTAGTACTAATAATACAACTCAGAACATAGCGTTGATGTGAAAACTCTTAATTATGCTCGTACAGTTAACATACGAGTTACATGTATTTAATAGCACATCGTATTTACTCATTTAACCGTGTTGTTAATGATACTAATACATTCTCGTAAACGTCCCCGCAAATCGTTGGCGAAGTTAAACAAGGAAACCGGAAAACAATGTTATTTATACAATCACATTTCAGTTGAGTAGATCTAGACGAGGAGCTTGATTATTAATTTACTTTAATCAAATATTTCCAAGCTTTGGGAAGAATATAAATAGCTAATTTCTTATCTACATTTGTTCGTTCATTTGTATGGATTAAATGATTAGTTTCAAAATGGCCTATGCTTTTGAAGAAGTGACATTGATCTGTGAAATGTCGTTTAACCCATTATAACATTAATGTGACCTCGTATGCTCGATTCGATCATTAGCGTCATTTGTTTTCATATTAGTATATATACCTATATGTATATAAGAGTCCCTGGTTTCAATAATACAGGTAACCCTAGTTTAGGACCGTATGATTTGTCCTCCGGTTATTTATTGATTAAATATCATTATGAACATTATGATAACATTAACTTTCATTACTTATTGCGTCATTCAGTGTAATTGCTAGCAGGGCCTGTTGTGACCTCACTGTGGGTTTCACCGTCCTGTTTGTGCCGCAAAATAGTGTTCGCTCTATTTGTATGGCTAGGAATATCATTTAACAATATTGACAAAAGTTCGAGCTCATATTATCTTAAGGTGGATGGCGGCAGTCAAAATCACAATGGCTTCAAACGTTGCCCTCGGTATGCGTTTAACGGTACGATAAAAATACAACTAAAGGCATCACCGTTCGTTCACCAGTGTGCACTTTTATGCTGATCATCGCCACTAAAAGATTTAAGGATCACGTGGCGTAGTGTACCGATAACGAGCACTCAATAAAGTCTGCTTTCCGAACTTCAGTTAATGTAATAAATCTTTCTGTTTTACGAACAGTTTGATGGGGCTATTGCTATTAAATACGTGTGAATAGGTATGAATTTGAATTATTGAAGCAATTTGTTGGGTATTACATTTCGAATCTTCTATATCTTGATGAATGGGTTTTTGTAGATAAATAGAGCACCATGAAAGAATTTAAGGCAAGAAAAAGAATGTCGAGGTGTTGATCCACGAGCTAAGGTCACTACTGTCTCGTATCATTTGTCTATAGAATGTTACCATTATTCTGTCGCAAAGCAATTTTTAGTTCGGGATTGAATGTCGAACAATGGCCGTGATTCCGATGAAAATATAAATACGATTTCATCTCTGAAGGAGACGGCATTTACGATCACAAAACATAGTACGATGTGAGATAATTTTCAAGACAATAGTTGTTTTAATAGCTAGGTATTTTTGCAGTCAATAATTAAACAGAATATAAGCGGCTGGTATGGATTTTTGATTGTTCGCCTTAACTGTAAACTAATTTCATAAAGTATTATAATTAATATGTTTTAATACTTTCAGCAGATTAGGATATAAGACGTTTTGGAAAGGAGGAAATAATTTTACTATAGTATTTTTGTTTCTGTTTGATCAACTTACTTGAGACATTTAATACGTTGACTGTCCGACACAAATTCCTCTCATGTGACGATCAGTTGTTTTTTTATTATTATATTAAAGGTAGTTTTGATCACTCTAAATTAAATAAGTATATAGGTACTTTAAGTGTTACTGTATAAGTATAACAAAATAATAATAAAGTATAACAGAAAATAAAAACATTTTAACTTCAACAGCGGTACAGGTAGGTACATGGTTTTCATATTTACTTATCCTACCTAAAAGCCGATTAGATAAAGGGAACCTTTACCATGACACTCATACAAATGGTTTTAATTTGTTTGCATGTTTGCTGACGAAAATAGCATTGGATTGATAAGGATACAAATAAAAATTATATATTTTTGTGTTTTTACTATTTTTATTGTGGCTTTCATTGGCATGAAACAACAACAAGTAGTAGGAGATCGAAGTCGTAAAGCGTCTGACGAACCCAAAAGTGATATTCAATACAGTAAAAAAAAAAAAAAAAAATGGCTTACCATCATTAGAAAACCATACATATGTTAGGCCTAGACCGTGTCGACGAATTAGCTAATGCCGGAAAAGGAGTAACTAAGTCAAACATAGATATACCTGATTATGAAGTTACCTGAAGGTACCTGAAGTTTAGGCTACATTATTATGCTTTGTTACCTATTCTAACGTTTCTAGAGTGTTTTATTTTAAATCTACGAACAGGGAAATGGTAGTGACTGAAAGTTTCGTGGAACCTCGTTGATAAGGTGCACACAATCCTCCCGAAAGAGCTATTTACTTTGTTACATCGAGCGGCCGGTAATGAGTATTGGTTCGGAAAACCAATAGTATCAAGTGGACTGTGAAACTAGCTACCCTACTACGGAAAAACTACACGTACATAAAAGTCAACAGCATCCCTGAAATACTTTGTGTACTATACCTACGAATCAAATATTTTTGACCTATTAAACAAAGGGAATATACTTTTTATATTTATTAATTTCAGTATTTTCTTACAGTGCTCACACGTCGAAACGAGTGGCCAAAGTGATCATTGTATTTATATGGCTTCTAGCCTTCACATTGGCTGCGCCAATGGAAATGTCATGGGAGGTTGTCATGGAAGATGAAATAGACCCAGGTGATTAAGTAGTAACTTATGTGTTTTATTTTAATCTTTTCTTGTTATAGAATTTACATATAAAGCTGGAGAGATAGAAATAAAATTTACTCCATTCGCTATCAAAATTTTGATCATAAACATTAACAAAAAAAAAAAAAAAAACTTGTATATAATAAGACTCCATACTTAAAAATTGTTCTAATAAAATAAAAGAGTCGACAACGGCTTTGACATTGTAATGTTAACGGACTGTGGCACTGGTTAATAGTAGATGGATTCCAAGTACGTTAGACAATTTAATCTAAAATCAATTTAAAAAACACCCATTTTTTTTATTGCTTAGAAGGGTGGACGAGCTCACAACCCACCTGGTGTTAATTGGTTACTGGAGCCCATAGATATCTACAACCGTAAATGCTCCACCCACCTTGAGATATAAGTTCTTAGGTCTCAGTATAGTTACAATGGCTGCCCCACCCTTCAAACCGAAACTCATTACTGCTTCACGGCAGAAATAAGCAGGATGGTGGTACCTACCCGCGCGGACTCACAAGAGGTCCTACCACCAGTAATTACAATACAAATTATAATTTTGCGGGTTTGATTTTTATTACACGATGTTATTCCTTCACCGTGGAAGTTAATCGTGAACATTTGTTGAGTACGGATTTCATTAGAAAAATTGGTACCCGCCTGAGATTCGAACACCGGTGCATCGCTTAACACGAATGCACCGGACGTCTTATCCTTTAGGCCACGACGACTTCAAACTTTCCCCTTTCCACTTTTCAACACTTCAACTTTCCACTTTTGCGTGGTATCCAATATCCAAAGACCAATATCCAATATTCAAAGTAAACCAATATACAAAAACCAGTCACAATGTTTAATTTTTAAAATTAACAAAATAAACCTGTGAATATTAACAGTCGTGTTAGGCATGCGTACGTCAACTATTATCCACTAAATGTTATCTGGAGAGAGCAAAGTTGGAATGACTTTTGGAACCATTATAAAGACATTCCCGAAGTTATAAAAGTAATGGCGAGTAATATTGCAAATCCTTGTTCCGACTCAGTCTCTCTCTATAAAAACTTTTGTTTGCAGGCACTAAGTTGGTTTACAAAAAACCATTTTGCACTGCCAGTGAATTCGGATCCAATTCACTGGCAATATATAGGTTGCTACTATACATATTTCAGGTGAGTTTCAATATCATGCTTCAATTAGCGGTAGCTTTTTCTTTGTGGAATTGAAGTAAAGACGAACCGCACTCTATGAATTTAATTTTTAAATAGACAAATGCAATATCTATCAGAATCATACAATCTTTCGAACCAATAAATAACACATTCGGCTTAAATCAGCTAAATACTTAATGTTGACTTATGTTCTGTAAACAGTACAGGCTCAGACCGTTTACATTCGTAGTTCGGGGTCAAAGTCAAATGAAATTTGGGTTCCAAAACGCTATATTGTGGGTAGTAACTTTGGGGCAGTTGATTAGTGTTAGTAGAAACACCACAAACTTTTGTGTTTGATTAATTAGTCTCGCAATATCTTTAGGGAGCGTGTTCCATTTGCTAGGGGTACGACCACAAGAATTCTGAGATTGACTGACGTAGACAACGACAACCCTTTTGAAGTGCTTCGTCTATTAAATCGAAAGTCTTAACGTTTATATAATTTCAATCGCTGGATATTCCGATTTATCTAATCAAACATGAATTTATGAAATGTAATATTTTTTCTTTTTTATTGCTTAGATGGGTGGACGAGCTCACAGCCCAGCTGGTGTTAAGTGGTTACTGGGGCCCATAGACATCTACAACGTAAATGTTCTATCCAGTCTCAGTAAAGTTACAACGGCTGCTCCACCCTTCAAACCGAAACGCATTACTGCTTCACGGCAGAAATAGGCAGGGCGGTGGTACCGACCCGTGCGGACTCGCAAGAGGTCCTACCACTATTAACAAGACAAAGGAGACTGAAACGATTACATACGTTTTTGGGCCCGAATGTAACGTGATGAAACTAATATGAATTAATAGATTCAGATTTATCAGTACCTTGCTGAAAATTATAAAAGTTTTCTCAATCTGAGAGCCTAGTTATAATAAAGATTTAGTAAAAGTTAGGTTATGTTACAATCTCTTTAAAAGAGCTGAATAATAACTTATTTAAGCATAAGTAAATGTTTATTATATCCATTGGATAATCTTTTAAATGTCATATTATGAATGAATATCAATGATTTATATGAGTCGACTATTATCAAAGCCGGCAATCTGACTTTTGGACAATGAGTGGTAAATCAGAAAAACGAATTATTGACTTTGTATTCCATTGGCAGTCACAAAACTTTTCGGAACGACATCTTAGATAAATAACAGGTTAACTATTAACCTTTATTTAATGCAGGTTTTGAACCGTATTCTTTGAAGGAGACGATTATATTCAAATCAATCTGTATTGACATATCAATAATATTTTTTTGTCCAAATGCACAGATTGCCACCTTTGATAATAGACGACTCATATCAGGTATGGAATATGGAATTGCTATCCCACAATTCACCCAGCGATCCATAATTTCAACAGTATCCAATGCAACAATTTCAAGTCAAACGTGTGAGCGATCTTCGGTGTCCAGTGTAGAAGCAATTGTCGTACAAGGCTGGCAGAATTGGAATCCGTAATAATAAAGCAGTGATCGTTGAAAATATAAAAACAGCCCGATAGATACACACTCAAAATGCGTCGAAGATACAAAACGAGTAGAGCAGAAAAAACCAACAAGCGCCAAAAAATAATTGTTTAATCTATGAACAAACGTCATGTCAGCTTACTGTCAAAGCTGTTATCAAAAATACAATCGATTTTAATCGATTTGAAATCGATAATCATTATACTTTGTTAAGTAATAATAGACTTTTTCTTCATTTATGTATATAATCACAATTGAATCCGGCGTATACCGCACTTGTACACAACAAGTATAAATCGCTCATTTAATTACTTTGCATTAATTACTTAGTGCAATATTTTTCTTTTTATAATCCTGTAATCGATTAATTAAATCGATCACACCGTTATACCGACAAAAACTAACTTTCTCATTTTTCTCCGGTACCAGAAAGAGGATTGAGGTGATTTTTTATATTCTTATATAAAAAAATATGACAAATTTTTTAGACTACATTCCAAGTTATTACATTTTTGGCCCACGATTTTCCGTCTCCTTTAAATAACTGTTCTGTTTTTAAGAGTAACCTTTTTTTGTTTCTCGAAATCAAGCAATTGTTATTATTATTCCGATCGTGTCGCTTCGTCTTCTTTTGAAGATACTGGTATATGGATGTACATAATTTTATTTCCTGTCTCCCCTTAGTATGTGATTCCTTTGTGCGTGATAACATTCGCCTACGTACACATGGCCATGAAGCTTTGGGGAGCACGTGCGCCGGGTAACGCGCAAGAGACCCGAGATGCAAACCATATGAAGAATAAAAAGAAGGTAAAATATTACATAACTAATGTTTTGTCAGAGAATTTTTGGGTGTCAGACATATAAATTACACAGACTAACTTTATTCACACTCCGATTTATTCCACCAATTTTACATTGATGCGTCTTATTCAACTACTGTGCTCTGACCGTCTGCATTCTCTTTTAAATATGTCTCAGCCGGCCATCCCCTCTGGACTGGGCTAACGTGACTAAGCCACGTGACTTTAAAAGTAGTCAATTGAGCAACTAATAAACAATAATATTTAAATGTTTTGCAATACAAACCTCATATTTAATAATAATTCTTAATATCTATAGGACTTTATATAATCATATTAGGTAATATAAATAATCATAAACCTTACAGAATAGTATTAAAATTTTAGTAGAATTATGCGTGTCTACTGTTTGTTATCACTGACTTTTTTGTAATGAAATGACGACAGACGATTTCAAGTGTTAACTGGAGCCATTGATATCACGACCTGAATACCGTCACCCATTTTGCGACAAAAGATTGAAGTTTCAATTGTTTTATAAAATAGATGTCGTATATTCCAAACTAAAGTCATGAGTACTCTGAGTACTGTTTCAGTGATTCGAAAAGAATTTTATATCATATTTTTATGGTACCTAAAAAATGGTTTATCATCTCTTGTTCCATACCTATACGGTTTGTCTAACTTATTATAAGATTAAAATGCGTGTTCATATGTAATAACTTTTAAAAATTTAAATGCGAAGTATGAAAGCGTGTATTGAGTTAGCAGGTGTGATTATAAAACACGTAGATTTACGATCAAAAGAGTAAAATAAAAGCAAATCGAGGAGTCGAGTTACTGATCAATAACGAATATTTCACGCGCTGGTGCTTATACTCCCACTCATAAAAGCTGTTTGTTTAACCTAATGCTAAAATTATTTCGTTATATAGTCAATCATTTTGCTTATTGAGTTTTCAATGACATTTTCTTTTGGCTTTTGGCTTTTTTGATCTTGAACCTATACAAACTATGAATGTGTTGGTCCGCTTTAAAAAAAAAAACTTTAGATATCAAACTAGTAAAAAAAAAAAAATTGATCTGATCTGTGACTAATTATGATTATTGTCTTTGTTTCTGTCGACGCTGCCAAAGGTATCAGAACTCAAGGCTACGCAAGCGTGATGCATTTTTAGTTAATGTCCAACATACTGCCGGTGATTACAAAAAACGAGGTCAAAAAACTAAGGGATACTATAAGTTGTATTTCATTAATGCTTCCGATACATAATACTTACGTACAAAAGAGCATCCTATCAGCTGGCTTTGTTACTATTCAATTAATAATAATAATAAAAATAAAAAGCCTTTTATTTCTTACATTTAAAAAAAGTGACATTACAAAACTTATAAAAATTGTTGATAATACATTAATAATAATAGATACTAATTATGATAGAATTCTTAATATAATGTGTATATTAGTCGGATCGCTTAAGTTCATAAAATTATAATAAAAGATATAAAAAAGGTTATATTAATTTAGCGTGCAGGCATGCAAGAACCCCTCTTATGTGAGGGTGTAGGCCTCCTCCAGACTTTTCCATTTGTCTTTATTTTTGGCAATTGTCTTCCAGTTTTTACCAGCGATTTTTATTATATACTATTCAATTAGTATGAACTTAATAGTTTCAGTCAGTGATGATAGTGCGTTTGCTTGCAACTCGGATGATTTGAAGGTTTTATAGCTAAATAGTCTTTTACGTGTTTTATTTACGAGCAAGATTCACCTTCCAAATGAAACTAGCAGAAAGACAGCAATATCTTTTTAGCTAAGCATACGAATTACATGAATTTGCGTTTGAGGGATTTTGTGGTTTCACGTTAGTATTGCGGGCGTCCTAAAAATACTTGGATGGACTGTATCCAAGAGGATATATGCCAGAGAATGGTGTGAGTGCAGAGATGACGTATTACAATAGGCCGGAATGAAAAAAGTAGACACGCTGCGCCGACCCCACATAGTGTGAGATAACGACTAGAAGAAGAAAAATATATTAGCGTTGTTTCATTTTTATAAGTGGACAAAACCACCCCCTTGACACATAAGTTCAAAATTTCCCATGTATTGTATAACATCTGTCACACCCTCGATAACCGCTACATGGCAGAATTGAACTGGTTGACGATAAATTCCGGGAGGACAATAAGGTCTACTAGAACACCAGAACTTTTATCCTAGATCCAGTAGAGGCATGTACATCAGATATTTAAGTAGATACAACCCAGTAATATATAAGTAAGAGTAATAATAATTTTGTCTGAAAGCATTGCGATCTGCACTAGAAATGTGTATTCATGAAATGGGTCGCGCGCTCACTACGGCATGAGCATCTTTTATTCAACATATTTACATAATTTGTTTTTATTTATTGTATATCCGAGTACTAAGAAGCCAACTAACTTGAACTTGTGGCATAGCTTGGGCAAGAATGTTCCAAATTGAAATTGGAATATTGGAGGAACATTCTTTATCAACGATATAAAAAGTTAGTTCCTACCGTGGATAGCTTTTCTAAATTTTATATACTTCTGTGTGATGTGAAACTCAATAGATTTTGAATTTCTGAAATCGATAGCCCCAACGTAATACAAGGATACTTCGTCATCGAATACAGAAATGAACTAAAGTCAATTTAATTAAATTAACTTAAGCAATTATTGAAGGGCAGTATATAAAGTGCCGTTTATTTTGAATAAAACAACTCAATGGAAATTGGTGAAAATATTTAAAAAAAAAAAAAGTTTTTGTGGAGCAAAGATGCAGAAAATCTGCATTCTCTCGGATTTAAGTCTCATTAAGAGATTTGAGGAGCGCTGCTTTGTAGTTTTAAATATAAACAAGACAAAGGTAGCATTTTAATATTAAAATACATTTTCATTTTAAATAGCGTCTTGCACAATGATTTCATTAAGGATAGAAGGATATAATTACCTGTACCTAAGTTGATTCATCTTCTTAACTACGTACTTTATTCTTTGAATTTAAACAAAATGCTTATCCGTTTGCGTCTTTATTGTTTCGTTTCTACTTGATGCCAACATCTAGTAATAACAGATCATCCAATAAGAAGAAAGTATTTTCATTCTGCTTTGAGGTTAATTGCATTGCAAAACAAGCTTTTCGAACAATTCAAACGTAATACACGCCAAGTCTCCGACAGAAATAGTAGGTAGGTATCTGACGCCAGTAATATAAAAAAAAATACAATATTCTAAAAAATCGTTTAGTTAAATTTCTAAAGCGTAATATTGAAAGCAATCAACATTTTTGCGTTGTTCCAGTTTCTACGATAATATTTTTACTGCAATTTTTCTGTTCGCAGGTCATAAAAATGCTCGTACTCGTAGTGGCACTCTTCGCACTTTGCTGGCTTCCCCTTCAGAGTTATTTACTACTGCAGTCCTTCTTCCCCTCCATAAATGAGTAAGCAACGTTCTCACGACAAAACAAAATCTAGTATGTATGTATGTGTATAGCGTTATTACGTTTCTACATATTTTATGGTACCTTACTCTCAACGTGCGTATACGTGGCTGTTTCTACGACCTATTTTCGTTTATATTTTGTTTTATATTACAGAATTACCCTACATTCTTTGCGTTTATTTTGTCAATGGCAGAAGCATTAAATATAAAATATTTGACGCTATGCTGTAGCAGTGCATAGTGTACTGAGATCGGACTACACGCGATCGTAAATCGTGAAATAAATTCACACCATCATATTATGCATTTGTGTAGATGAAAAAAAAGGACTTAGTCCACCTGTGTTAAGCGGAGTCCATAGATATAATTACGGGAATGCAGCATAATTGTTGTAGTTTGCGAAATAAGTACCACAAGTACTTTCTCAGGTGGAGTCACAATACGCTTTATCACAAGAACATCTATAGCATTGAATTGAGCATAGTATGAATATACCGGAGTAAATTTCTTTCTTGTCTATAACAATATATACGGATTTCAGATACATGTTTATGTTTATGTAAACAAGATGTTTATATAATACATTTTCGCGAGAATGGATTAACAGAGTTAAAAGTCTGTGTTAAAAGAAGATATACGAGTTTTTCAAAATACTAAACGCATCTTTATTTTTAGGTACAGATACATAAACGTGATCTTCTTCTGTTTCGACTGGCTCGCCATGAGTAATTCCTGCTATAATCCGTTCATCTACGCCATATACAACGTGAGTGTATCGTTTTTATTTATTCAAAACTCTCTTTCAAAACAAAAAAACCTTTATTGTTGATACGGTTGAAATTTTATTTCAAATCGTCGTCAGTTGCCTCGCTGAAGTTTTAATAATAATAATAAGCCCATTTTATTTCCAAAAAAAGAAAACACCTTAGCAAATAAAAATGACAAATATAAAACTTATGTTATTGGAACCCCACTTCGGGTATAGGCCTCCTCCAGCTTACTCCACCCTTCTCTATTCTTAGCTTTGTTTCTCCATTTACTGAAGTATTAAAAAAGGTAAATAACATTTTTTATAACTTCGTAATCACAATAATTGGTTTTCGTATTAGCCCTTTCTAAGATAACATCTAAGATTACAATATTTACCATTAACGTAGTACCAAATTTAACACCGAATTGTGTAGCTCCATAATTTTCTTGTTTCAATACACGCGATCAAAAACTGCTATTATATAACTATTAATTATGTTTTGACTTTTTTATTATTTTGAGGGGTGGACGAGCTCTCAGCTTGTTCCGTGGAACCTTTATCCATTTAAACTGAAATGTAGGACAGCTTCACGGCACGCATAGAATCTTATGAGCCCGCACGAGTGGATACCACCGTCCCGCCTATTTCTTACGTGAATCTGTTAAGCGACCCAGTTTGAAGGGTGGGGTAGCCATACAACTGTGACTAAGAAAGCTCATGTCTCGGAGCGAGTGGCGGCATTTACATTTTTGATGTATAGCCACTTATAGCTCCGATAGCCACTTAGTACCAAATTTTTTTTTCCTACCTAATCGTTGGTAGTCTTAGAGGCTGTCCCAATTACACTCGAGCGGGTAGCCCAGATGGCTTAGCCCTAAACACGTCATTACAGATCCTCCCGATACATTTAACGGTGCTTTTAGCTACCTCAAGCACCGGTCACCGTCCTCTCCGAACCCGTCGCTTGCGATGAACGGCTCGACGAGTAAATTAACCCATAGACACAACCCACTGAGTTTCTCGCCGGACCTTCTCAGTGGGTCGCATTTCCGATCCGGTGGTAGAATCTGCGAAGCACTGCTCTTGCTAGGGCCAGTGTTAGCAACACTCCGGTTTGAACCTCGTGAGCTCAGCTACACGTCAAGGAGAAGCTAAAATAACCTCTCAAGGTTATTAGAATAGGTAGGAAAAGAAACCAGGTGGGCTCTTCCATCCGTCCAAGCAAAAAAGGAGGATAGTAGCATAAACCCGTGCGGGATTACACAATACGCCCCACCTCTATTATTATACGATCGTGGTATATTTATAAAAGCATAAATGTCAGCTGTCAAACTTTTGCACAGTACGGTCCAAATGCCCAACCATTAAATAACAAGTTGCGTCAGATTTCCCACTTGGGTCACTTTTCTTATAAAAAGCGCTTCTCAGAGGAAAATTCACATACATTCTTTTGATAGCCTCGGACGGGAGGATGGCGGGATGTGCGCACAGAAAAGGACGCTTGAATCTTTTTTGAAGTATCTTCATGCAATTTTAAAAGCGCGCCTCTCTTTGACTTTAGTAATTAAAAGTTTGTTACAGGAAAAATTCAAGAAGGAATTTAAACAACGATTCACCTTTGGGAAAAAACCCAATAGATTCGCCAATGACAGTTATGAGGTATGGATTTTAATGTAATAATTTAAGAGTGACCAAAACACTTTAGTTCCTAATTAGATAATATCAAATGCTTGTAAAATAAACCATCTGTTGTCCATTGAATACATTGTAAGGTTTTTGCAAAGGTCGATGAAGATTATACTTTTTCTAACATAGTGAAATCCGCTTAGAGCCGTTTATTTTATTTTCTCTTTGTCCTGCCTATTTCTACCGTATAGCAATCAACAGTCTCGTTGGAACAGCGGCGAATTGCGTGCAGATCTGTTTTTTGTTTTTTCAACGAGAGCCCCCGGTCCCAATGTCTATACGCCAAACGTTATTGGAGATATGAGAGCAGGAGTACAGAGCCGTTCGCAGGGTGTGGAGTTAGGCGGACTTGTGTCTTGGGGACCCACAGTAAAAATTTCAATTCAATTAGTATTCGAACCCAATATGTCAGATTGGCTATTTACCGGTAAGCAGCGGCTTGGCTCTACCCCTGGCATTGCTAACGTCCATGAGCGACAGTTACCACTCATCATCAGGTGGGCCGTGTGCTCGTCTGCCTACAGGGGCAGTAAAAAAGTAAAATTACGTTATAATAACAATGAGTTTGTGCAGTTACAATTTAGATAACTCATTAAACGAAATCAATATCAAATTTATTTCAGGACGGCCAATCCTATAGGACTCGGATTCTTTCTTTCCGCTCAACCAACGACCGATGTTTATACTCAACCAGAAAATCGATTAACATTACGCCCGACGATTCTCTTAGGTTGTCGACACATAGCTCTGTCCAATACACGAACAACCAGAGCCGTGAGAACGGCTGTGAATGTACTAAAACCGAAGAAGCACAAGCCCGCATCACAGCAAGGAGGTACGCCAACATGAGAATGGGATGCCGACACCCAAACGCAAGAAAATGCTTCTCGAAGGCCAATGAAACTGACGAGATGCCAATAGGCGACGAGAGAGTTAGCGAACTATACATCTTTCCCAATAGTAACATTGTTGAATTCCGAGACATATCATACGATGACAAAGTGTAAATACGTTAAAATTCCATACTTTATTTAAGATACGTTTAATAAATTTGTGATGTGATAGATAAAATGTGTATAAATAAATTTAAATAAAAATTTTAAGTTCGATTTGAAGTTCTTTTTATCTAATTTCGATTTTCGTAATGGGATTCCTAAATCATATTGACTTTGTTAAAAGCAATTCCGAAAATGTACACTTACAATCCACAAGTAGCCCTTAATCGATGGTCTGAGGGCTTGGAACATTGCCATTAAATCTTATCGTTCCTGATGACGGTTCAGAATTCTGTTTCTCCTTTATTAAAATCACGTAGCTCCGCTATAACATCGTGCTGTTTGCGGAAAAAATATTAAAACGTGCAAAGAATGAACACAACTACACGAAAACAAGAGTTTCAATAGCGTTATTTGTAGTTTTGTTAAAGTGTTTTGAAATTTAAGTAATAAAATCGTAAAATTCTCGAAAATAAGTCAAAAAATTATAATCATACATCGTTCTATTTGAAACCAAACAAAACTTCACAGTAAATGTCATTTAACGTAAATAAAAAAGTTCAACAAATTAGCGCACGTATGTTGACATTCATTTAAAAAGCATTTACTTTCATTAAAATGACAGTGAATAGTAAAATAGATATTTTTAATAAGCGTTATTCTTTGAATGAATTTCGTGAAGCGATCACTCATCAAAAATACAAGTTTTGAGCATAATTGATATGATGCGGTACGGGTCTGCGTTAGCTGCGGGTCGCCTGTCTTCTAGATAGCCCCGCTTGTCCTCGGAAACTTGCCGAGGTATCCTGACGCAACAACTCCGATTAGCCACACCTGGAACCAGACGTATAAAATTACCCCTAAGTTAACGTAATGAAACTCGGCGTACCTACCCCAGAAATTACCTTCATATTATAAATTAATCGTTTCCACATAGCGTGTTTAAGTATTTGCTTAGGCTTTAACTGATTAGCTTTCATTCGACATGATCAAAAGAACTTATTTAATCTCGAGCTTTTGTTGTTCGTCTCGATATCCGACTTTTCATATTATTAACTTACGGCACTAAAATTAAAGAAAACCGTAAAATGGGAAATAATTTACGACGCGAAAACTTAGAAACTCGACGACTTTTCACGTCGTTAATCTCATACAAAATTAATGTCGTTCAAAATTATTATTATAACAACTTTTTAAAATACGATCTAATAAAATTTAATATATTCATAAAAATTCAATAAATTTTGTTAAATATCAATAAAACCAGCGGTAAGTTAAAAATTATTATTACCACAAAGCGATAAGGTTTTTAGTTTCACAAAGGAATGCAAATATCTGGCGAGCTCGGGATTGCCTCCAACAGTTTTCCAATATGACGTGATTTTTTTCTCTAAAGGACACGAGCGAACAATTTTGTTCGGAGCGTCTGAATATGAAATCATATTAAGAGCTCAATTGATACCAAAGTATTTTAAATAAATGTTGAAAATCGTGTTGGAATTTTATTAAAATTCTAATAGAAAAGAACATTCCGTCTGAAATACTTCAACAGAATGAAAATTTGTTCACTCTTTTTAGTCGCTTCGTGCTCCTTTGAGGATTTTTCAACCCAGTATTAAGGTAATTGTATACACAATTCAATGATATTGTCGTATCATACTTTAAAGTAAAAGGTTCGAACTTTTATAATATCTTTTAAAAGACGTTTAAATAATAACTTGTAACATATATAAATTAAATTATATTACAGAAATACCATAATATTATATATGTATTTCAATATTCTTATATTTTTATGAACTTGTGAACTATTATTTAATCAGACAGAAATAACTTTATTATGTTTCATCTACAAGTTTTGACTTTTAATTGAATCAATTGTTTTGGAATTGAATAAAATTTGTTTGCTTTTAATAAACTAAGGTTTAAAATTTGTTTTTCCTTTTGGGCGAGTCGAAATAATTTACTTTTAGGAATACAGTACGGTTGAACTGTAGCTTGTTTTTCGTTTTTCGTCTATAGAAATATCCGTGATACATCAATCTATGATACATCGACTATAAATACTCATTTGAAATGCGTCGAAACACTACGCATTTTTAAAAACAAGCATTTTCTGAGAACAATAACATCGACGTATCAAAACGATCTTAAGACATTAAAATAATGTCTACAAGGATGAAGGAATTGTTTTTTTCCGTTGATTAGTGGACGCGGTTGTGTAAGTACTGACTGGGGCCCATAGACATTTCAACGTTAATGTCGCCACCCACCCAGATATAATTAGAGTCAAACTCTCAATTACGGGAATAAGGGCTGTTCCACCCTTGGAACGGGGATGGGTAAGAGCTTCACGTCATAGATAAATTGACGGTACCAATCGGTACGGATAAACATAACGCTCTACTATGGGCTCCATTAACCATTTAACACTGGATGGACTGCGAAATAATTTATCTATGGTATAAAGATTAAGTTATGACTAACGACCCGTGTAAAACCGCGGTTCGATGCAATGTAGGTTTAATACGCATACAATATACATCACTCTAGTGATTTGTGACATGCGATACCGTTCCTGTAAAGCCAATATTGAAAGCTATCAATTTGTAACGCTCGCACGCTGAAATATAAGTCCTGAATCGATTGTCGCGTACCCTAAATTAACGTGCACCATGACAAAATACTAACATGCATCATAGGTTTGAGGAATTATATCACTTTATCAATAGTTTGATGCTGTAGAGTTGTTGTAAACTTTAGCATCGTAAACATACCACAGCGAGAATACTCTGTTACGCGTAGACACATCGAAACGTAGCGTTAAAGTATCAATTTTATTGAAATAACGGCTACTCTATTTGCCCCTTAAGAGAAATAGGCAGTATGGTTGTGCCTACCCATACGGGCTCACAGTATGTCCGAATATCATTTGTTACGCAAATAAAAAATCTGCGGTTATGATTTTTATTATAATATTATTCCTTGTCTTTTTATTACCTATTGATTTCGTAAGATATTCGCTGTCGTCTTAATAGGTAACTACGTGTTTTTTTTAGAAAACAATTGGCGAACTCTAGATTTTCACACCGGCAGGGTCATCATCAATGTGTCTGTACAGAAGGTAGGGCATCCAGTGTACTTATCACTGGGTATATGAGCAGAGGAGCTCATGACCCTCCAAAGTTAAACATTTCCCCGGCAAAAGCCCACAATCACCCATTATTCTAATTTAATTTGTTACTTTTGGTATTCACTCCTTTGTTTATTTAAGTGAAAAATAAGAGGTAATACTGTATATTAGAGATATATGTCTACATTATTTTGTACGTTTTTGCATTTAATTAACATGATGATTTTTGTTTCTATAGCAAAGAAATCTGTGAAACATTTTTTTTACTTATAATTTTATCTAATTCTTAGTTAACAATCACTTTTATTCTTAGGTTTGGTAGTAACGCTTTGTTATTATTTTGTCTATAAATAAATAAAAGCAAAAAAATGGCGGACGGCTATCACGAACATCGCAAGTTTGAAGTTTCGAATTCCCCGCTTCATTTAAACATAAAAGAAGCAATCAGGTTAATGTAAAAAATATGTCACCTGCAGTGAAATCCCTGATGTGTGGCATCCCATTTTTCCGACGAGCCTTCGCACGTTGTCAGCCCCATTGTTAGCGTCGTACTCATTGATGTGGGCACCGTGTCGACGCGCCAACTTATCTATAGCCCGCTCGATCACTCTGACGAAAGCCAATAAGTGGCCATTCAAGATATTTTGCACAATCCCTTCAAACTACATACATCTAGGTACATTTTTCGGACCACCTCTATGAACTTAATAATAATTGGATCTTATGGTTCCTTACTATTGAAACGTATTCTTTAGTTTTTATTCATTATATTTTAATTATAATTTATAATTACCGGTGGTAGGACGTCCTGTGGGTCCGAACGGGTAGGTACCGCCACCCTGCCTATTTCTGCCGTAAAGCAGTAATGCCTTTTGTTTTGAAAGGTTTGCGCAGTCGTTATAACTATACTGAGACCTTAGAACTCATATCTCAAGATGGGTGACAGCATTTACGTTGCAGATGTTATGGGTTCCGGTAACCACTTAACATCAGGTGGGCTGTGAGCTCGTCTACCCACCGAAGCAATAAAAAATTAATTATAAAACATTTACTATTATTTACACAGTACGATTTATAGATATCGTATTTTAAGTCCCCGATGATAACAGCTAACCGTCATACATGGACATTACTTTGTTCGATTAATCAACATTAAAGAAGCTTAGTATCTTATTGGATTTCACGAGTCGTAGACGTAATTAAAACTGTTGCCGGCCGGTGACTGTGAAAAGTGTAAAGTAATCAAAAAACACGTGTGACACTCAGGGAATGCCGCGATAAAGCTTTTGCATAGCATTTTTTATCAACTTATGCAATTATAATTCGACAATAATAATTTAATATTAAAACAATAATAAAACAAGACCACGCTATACTTATAAACATTAACAAAAGCAAAACATTAACTGTCCCCTTCACACTCATAAACTAGACCGCGCGGGAGAGAGATGGGCAGACTTTTCATGATGCGCATGCAGTGCGACGTCACGCCGCGCGCTTATTTACAAACACTACACAAGCGCAACGTGGAATGTGTTGAACGCGAACTACATGGTAGGTGGAGTGGGGGTGTTAGGTTTTATTTTCGTTACGGAATTTCTTGATTCGGTTGCCACGCTCAAAGCCCGCAATAAAAATTATGCAATAGCTTAAAAAGCCAGATATAATGAGAAAAACTTATATAAGGTTGATACATTTTCTTCTTACAAATAAACCTTTTGGGTAGTTTAATAATGGATTGATATTGTGATATTTATGGGCTCAGGTAAACATTTAGTACTGCGTAAGCCGTGAGTTCATCTTTTTTTTTATTGCCCTTGTAGGCAGACCGGCATATGGCCCACCTGATGGTGAGTGGTTACAAAATCTGCCCTTCTTG